AACGATATGATTATCAAATTCATGTTTATCAAATCCTCAGATGATCTCGCATTGATGATTGATGAAGACTGAAAGAACCCCCAAAAAGGTGCCAAGCCCGCTAGTCCGAGCCAGTCGGGATGCCGAATTGACCTAGCCAATGGGGACTGGTGAGCTTATCTCTACCTACGGGAGACGCAGCTGGAAGGACTGAGTGGTTTTTGGTCAATATCGTAAACTTCCATGAAGAGGTACAGAGGAAATAGTTCCAAGCTGCTGACAGATATAGCGGGCTACTAACTAACTATTGTAGTGTTACTTGGTGCTACCGTTGATTCAGGGATATCGATTGCTGATGTGGCTCCGTGGAGTTGTTGGTTCATCCCAGTCAAGCAGCCCTATGATCCGTGCTGGAAACACGATCGCTTGATCTGGACTTGGCCATCCCATACTAATTTTCTTTCATTTTCATTCTGAGATATATTTCGAATTATTGATGAGATATTTAGCTTTCTGTCAAGCTTCCATCTTACAGTATTGCCGTAGGAAGTTACTCAGAAGTCAGCTGGTAACATAGAAGGTATCTCCAAGGAGTACGGAGTAACCTTCCTGCTATGAAGGAACAACGCAGACACCGTCCGACAAGGATGATGGGACGGAGGTCTTGGCTTCATCAAAGCTCTACTTACTAGTCATGGAGTATCAACATTGCAACCGACAGTAATGGCCAGGAGTAACAGGAACCCACGGGGTTTGTTTTGAAGAGTGAATTCAGGAGGTCTGATAAGCCATCCCGGCCGACTGCTGATTGGACGGCCGAAGTCTGAAGATAAGCACAGCGAGACCGGCTGGGCTGAAGGAATTCACGACGCGACCATGAATTTACCATGGGTTGATTCATACGAGCTAGTAACTAAGGGAGTCACTGACTACCTCGTGGTCCTTGTCAACTGGGGTACAGAATACCAGTGACTCCTCAACCCATGGAAGTTCGAGAACGATGGGTGAAGCCACGAACTTAATCCGCAGCCTTGTCTCTGATAGATAGGGGAGTAAGTAATTGATAGATAACCAATTCAGCTGCGAATCCGGAGTAGTAAGCTCAGGTAATGCCATTGTTTTTAATTGGCCGATTGAATGCTATCTCCCACCAGTCGCAAGAAGCTGTCCGAGAAATTAACGAAAACTAAAGAGTCCTTCGGAAGTTTCCTGCTCCTTTTGAGTCTTATCCGCCTTGCATCGAGTCCAATGACGCTGTTACTATCCATTATTTCCCCCGATCTGTCATTGAAATCTTCAATCTCAGGGTCTCTATCGGTAGTTACATAGTATTCAGTAGTAGTATAGTAGTACTACAGTACTAGGTTAGTAGTAGCTGGTCACATTACCATCTTCAACCCCTATCCATAGTAAGTAGTAGTAGTTAGTAGAGTATGACATAGAGGGAATTCTCAACTTCTTGCCTGTCACCGATGCAGCATGGCGCGGTTAGGCTGCCATGCACCCAGCCAGTGTCACCCACACTCACCTAACTTGGCTTTTCCGTCCACGTTCTCGTCTGATTTCCCTCCAGCTAGCGGGAAACGAACAGTACTACTACAAGCCCACATTATTACAGGATGATGGCTGGATCCCGCTGCAGGTCAAGTGGAATATCCCAACGGGAAGCCGCGCATTGGCCCGCCCATCCCATCCTATCCATTCATCCATCCTTCCTTCCTCCGGAGTCTCCACGCTCTTATCCGCCGCCATGGCTTTTTCGCTGCTTGCTGATATCTATCTATCGGTCGTATTGATTGCGACTAACCATGGCCCAGGGTTGCGCCTAGTGCCCGAATGGGTGGATCCGGCCATGAATCGATGTAAGTGAGACCATGGCGTTTCATTCTGACTGGTATCATCGCCCTGCTCCGACTATTTCCAGTACTATTTATCACTCCTGCATCCCCTCCTCCTTCCCCCTGCAGTGGCTTGTTTTGCTTTTTGAATTAGACTCCTCCGTCGTCTTCTATTTCCCTTCCTCCCATAATTCCTTTTTTTCACTCTCAATCGCTAGTGTCTAGAAGCCACCCCCCGACTTGTTTGCCCATCTCTCGCTGCCTTAACCCATTAAAGGCCTTTGGGTCTACACGTCGACCCCATCTCGCGCCCTCTGCATTCTACAGGGCTCCTGGTCTTAGTGTCCAAGGCTTAGGAGTCATATAGACACTTTTATACACAGTTCTGGGCCTTTCTTTATCAGAAAGCCCTGTGTGATTCATTATGTCGGAATACCCTGTCGCCTACAATGGCACGGACAATGGGACCGGTGGTAACTCCCTGACAGAAGATCTTAACATCTACTACAGCGTATGTCTTCCCCAGATATGTGATGCAAGCTATGACTGGGGTCATCCCCTCTAACTGAATTCCAGTCTGGAGATATCGCTTGGGTTATCACCTCTACGGCTTTGGTGTTGTTGATGATTCCTGGTGTTGGGTATGATTACCACCTGTCCATTCAGCCATTGGGCCCCTCCAACTGACGACAACAGCTTTTTCTACTCAGGTCTCGCCCGACGCAAATCAGCATTGTCGCTAATATGGCTTTCAATAATGTCTGTCGGGGTGGTGTCATTCCAATGGTTCTTCTGGGGATACTCGTTGGCCTTTTCTCACACCGCTGGAAAGTACATTGGTGACCTGAACAATTTTGGAATGAAGGGTGTTCTGGCAGCTCCTTCAGTTGGTAGTACCAAGGTTCCGGATCTTCTCTTCGCTGTCTTCCAGGGCATGTTCGCTGCTATTACGTGAGTGTTCCCAGACGACGGAGCAACTTTCATGACTGATGACTGACAACGGAGATAGGGTTGCCCTTGCTGTTGGTGCAGTCGCGGAACGTGGTCGCATGCTGCCTTGCATGGTCTTTAGCTTCGTTTGGTCCACCATTATCTACGATCCGATCGCCTGTTGGACATGGAACTCGTCCGGCTGGGTGTACAAATTGGGAGGACTTGACTTCGCAGGTGGTACCCCCGTCCACATTGCTTCCGGCACGGCTGCCCTGGCATACTCCCTGATGCTCGGCAAGCGCCGCGGACATGGCACCCACGAGCTCAACTACCGTCCCCACAACGTCACCCACGTCGTCATTGGTACTGTCTTCCTCTGGGTTGGATGGTTCGGATTCAACGCCGGCTCTGCCTTGAGCGCCAACTTGCGTGCTGTTATGGCAGCCGTTGTCACGAACTTGGCTGCCTCCGTGGGTGGTGTCACCTGGTGCATCATGGACTACAGACTGGAGAGGAAGTGGTCCACTGTCGGCTTCTGCTCCGGTGTCATTGCAGGTCTTGTGGCCATTACCCCGGGCTCTGGTTTCGTGACACCTTGGGCTGCCTTCATCTTTGGCGTGGTCGGCGCTGCTGCTTGCAACTACGCCACCAAGCTCAAGTACGTGCTTCGTGTGGACGACGCGCTGGATATCTTTGCTGTGCACGCCATTGGAGGTCTCGTTGGCAACCTCTTGACTGGTCTTTTTGCTGCGTAAGGCCCCCTGATTCTTATAAAATAACCATATACCGGTGGGCACTCAACTAACGCTTGCTCTCTGGTAATAGTGACTACATCGCCCACCTCGATGGTTCCACGGTCATTGACGGAGGCTGGATCAATCACAACTACATCCAGCTCGGCTACCAATTGGCGGACTCCATCTCCGGTATGGCCTACTCGTTCTTCGGAAGCTGCATCATTCTCTTCATCATCAATTTGATCCCCGGTCTGCACCTGCGCATCCCTGAAGAGGAAGAAATCCTTGGTGTGGACGATGCCGAGATTGGTGAATTTGCCGTAAGTGCTTCCCCGTTGCATGGAAACAATCGACCTCCTATCCTAACAATAGCTTTAGTACGACTACGTCGAAATCACTCGCGATGTCATTGGCGGCACCAGCCCCGAGAACGGCGACGTGTCCTCCAAGCGCACCATGACTCCTCCCAACGGCAACGAGGAGACTGTGGAGACCAAGGTCTGAAGTACCGTAGGAGTTATTTCGAGGATGATTGACTGTTCATCTTCACTTCCTCCTAACTTCGAGTCATGAACGAACACAATAACTTCTACATTCTTATTTGGATTTAATTTTTACCCTTGATACCTATTTCGTTTCTGGTCATTATGTCATTCTTTGGATACCTTCAGATGTACATATTATTCACTTTTCATTTGTCTATCCTTTCTATCAACATATGTTTCTCACATATAACCCAAAATTCATCATATACTTATTTTACCTCCAATAACCTGTGAAGAAGCAAAGACATCGCAGTACCACTACTACTAGCATAATATAATATCCTAATTTGCCATCCTCTCTCCCCAAACTACCAGTATCATTAACCCCTCCCGACGAAATTCTTCGTTTACGTACTATCATCGTCCTTCCCGAAGCTACTGCATACACACACACACACACACCATAGAACAGACAAAAAACATACTACACAATACATTCAATTCCCAGAAACACTCAGCTTGCTTCTCCACTGATGTACACACTACTCATCCATAGCACATGAAAACCAACGAGGGCTTTACTAAATCGTACCTCATAAGTATAATCTTAGAATGCGTGAAGTATAGAGTCAGCAGTGGAAGTATGGAATGCGGGGTTACCACCTATCGAAGAACAATGGGCAGTGTACCTTATCACATGAATGGAATGAGGATCATGTACGAAGCATGCAGACCGATATGGTATGGTATAGTATTTATCGATGGCCTGATTTATTAGATGCCTAACATCTACATTCATCAAGACTAGGAAGATTGTACCAAACTGCTTTTAAAACTATGTGCGATTGGGTTTAATAAGTCCAGGCTTTGGCTAGCCTAAGTAATTAAAAACAGGAAGGGAAATTAAGAGCGCTCAAACAGAAGAATTCACTGACCAAGCCCCCGGAAGGCCTTGGTCGAAGAGAATGTAGGCTTATCGGGGTATTACAGAGCAGATCTCAATTCGCGTAACTGTCGACTTGAGACATTTACTCCTCGGCCTCAAGGGGCTCCTCCTCGACGCTGTAGCATTGGTTAGACCTGTAACAGGAAAAAACATAGGTTCTTAGGTGAACTTACTATTCCTCCTCACCCTCGGAGATCGAGGCGTCCTGGTACTGCTGGTACTCGGAGACCAGGTCGTTCATGTTGCTCTCAGCCTCAGTGAACTCCATCTCGTCCATACCCTCACCAGTGTACCAGTGCAAGAAAGCCTTGCGACGGAACATAGCAGTGAACTGATCACCGACACGCTTGAAGAGCTCCTGGATGGAGGTGGAGTTACCGATGAAGGTAGAGGACATCTTGAGACCACGGGGAGGAATGGAGCAGAGGGCGGTCTGGATGTTGTTGGGGATCCACTCGACGAAGTAGGTCTGGTTCTTGCTCTGGATGTTGCGCATCTGGTCCTCAACCTCCTTCATGGAGACACGTCCACGGCTAAATATTTGTTAGCTGGCGTAATGCAATCAATGCAGGAAGAAAACTCACAAGATGGCGGAGCAGGTGAGGTAGCGGCCGTTGCGGAAGTCAGAGGCAGCCATCATGTTCTTGGGGTCGAACATCTGCTGGGTCAACTCGGGAACGGTGACGGCACGGAAGGAGTAGGCGCCGCGGCTGGTCAGAGGAGCGAAGCCGACCATGAAGAAGTGGAGACGAGGGAAGGGAACCATGTTGACAGCCAGCTTGCGGAGGTCGGAGTTGAGCTGACCAGGGAAACGGAGGCAAGTGGTCACACCGGACATGACGGCAGAGACCAGGTGGTTCAGGTCACCGTAAGAGGGGTTGGAGAGCTTGAGGGTGCGCATGCAGATGTCGTACAGAGCCTGGATTGGTCAATTCGTTAGTTCTCGAGCACCAATCTTGTTTCGATATGTGCTAGGGACAAAAGCGTACCTCGTTGTCGATACAGAAGGTCTCGTCGGAGTGCTCAACGAGCTGGTGGACGGAGAGAGTGGCGTTGTAAGGCTCAACAACGGTGTCGGAGACCTTGGGGGAGGGGACAACGGAGAAGGTGGCCATCATACGGTCGGGGAACTCCTCACGGATCTTGGAGATCAGGAGGGTACCCATACCGGCACCGGTACCACCACCGAGGGAGTGGGTGATCTGGAAACCCTGGAGGCAGTCGCAAGCCTCGGCCTCACGGCGGACAACGTCGACAACCTGGTCGACCAACTCGGCACCCTCAGTGTAGTGACCCTTGGCCCAGTTGTTACCAGCACCGGACTGGCCGAAGACGAAGTTGTCGGGGCGGAAGAGCTGGCCGAAGGGACCGGCACGGACGGCGTCCATGGTACCGGGCTCGAGATCGACGAGGACGGCACGGGGGACATACTTGTTACCGCTAGCCTGCTGAAGTGGTCAGGACATTGATGATATTGTCGTGAAAAAACTCAGGGACGGTGTGATCTAACCTCGTTGAAGTAGACGTTCATGCGCTCCAGCTGGAGGTCGGAGGTGCCATTGTAACTATCCTGCGCGTCAGGAAACCCAATCCTTTCCACATTGTTGACCAATTGAGAGGTGTGAAAAAGTTGTACTTACACACCGGAGCCGTCAAGGCCGTGCTCGCCAGAGATGGTCTGCCTGTTGAGTTGTTAGACGTGTTCTTAACCCGATAGCTATATACCCGATGGATAACATCTGAACTCAAGCTAAGATAGCTTGAGAGATGATGTTCCATCCCCAATCCAGTGGCAGTGAATACGTACCAGAAAGCAGCACCAATTTGGTTACCCTAACCACCATCATTTGTTGTTTAGTCCACCGAACACCAATCAAGAACCCGGGAGGGCAATCATTCGAAGAACATATTGGCACTTACACACTGGCCGGTTTGGAGGTGAACCTATGAAGCGACAAAGACATGCAGTTAGCACAAGATTGAAGTGGTTGAAGAACCGGTGGGGTCCCGATCAGAAGAGATGCCAACCAACGACGCGTCTCCTGACGGAAGAGGGACGGGGAGGGAAAACATACGATCTCACGCATTGTGCCGGGGATATTGAAGGGGTTAAAGGTATTGAAAAGGGTCGAAGGGGAGTGAGAGACGGCGAGGCCGGAGGAAGTGGATGAACGGGAAGTTGTTGGGAGGAGACTGGGGAAAGACAGTCGACTAAAGGAGGAGAAGGGGGGAGGGAGGAGGGAGGAGAAAACGAGGAATGGGAGGGAAGTTAGTTTGGCCTTAGTGGAGAGTTGGGTAGAAGGAGAGCGGTGAAGGGGGAACGTTGTGCGGGCAATAATAGTAATACCAGTACGGAGTAGGTAAGCAATTCCCAAGCCTAATAAATTCGGGGATCAACAACAAAGCCAAAAAAAAACGCCAACAAAACACCCGATCTTTTGGGCAGGTAAATAGGGGCTGTCCCCCAATTCGGTTTGGCGTCGTCACGGGACGGCCTTGCGGGCCAGTGACAGTCAACCTTCGTAACTTGGCTTGTCCACACGCGAACCAGACTTGATCATGGCCTGACCGGCCTTACCATGGATTCAGGGCCCTTTTCGTGTAAACAAATGGAAAGCATAGTGATAATAACAACAGACCGAACGCTATTATAAGTACATACAAGTCTACAATCCCGCAGTTCGTCTAAAGTGACCAGCCAGCCTGAAAAGCGATTGCGCCCATCCCATCCGGTTCCAGATCCCCCTGATAATGATTACATCCGAGAAAACATCACCACCATCACCATCACTTGGCCGTGTTCTCGACCGTATGAGAGCTTTCCAACCATGTGCCAAACTCATCCAATCGCTGCTCCTCCTCTTCATCGGATGCATCCAATCCTTTCTCCGCCAGATCTTCCAGTGCCGCACGCTTCTCATTGGTCTTTTTAAATTTCTCACTGCCATCCGCAATATAGGCATCGACCCGGGTGCCAGCGAAGAACCGCCCATCCATCATCTAAAAGTAGCAGTATCATTAGCACATGTTCTTGTCTTGAGGGTACTGACCATCGCCATCCCGTGATCAAGCTTACCTTGACACAACTCCTGGCTGCCTCGGGATCGGAAAAGCGAACGCTCACCACTCCCTCGGGTTCCTTATCGTAGAGTACAACGTTGGTCACATCCCCCAGCTTTGAGCACTCCTCCCGGATATCTTCCTTGATATCAAGAATAGCCGCAGGATCCTCCTACACCAGACATTAGTTCATCTTATGGATTAGCCCTAGCCCAGGAAGTATACTCCGTACCTCCAATTCCTTCAACGTGAACATATGTTTCAAGATCACGAGCTTATCAAAGCGGGAAGTTGTGTCCGGCAAAGCAGACGGATCGTCATCGTCCCAATCAGCAAGTTTGCTAGACACCTGTATCAGCAAAGCCCAACCCAATCATCGCAGGTCAAATGTAGTTCTCCCCATACCTATTCAGCTTCTGTGTCCGGCGCATAATCTTCTTCTTATCCCTCATACTAGTCTTCGTAGGCGCCTCCTGCTGGCTCTTGAACGAGAAATCCGCATGCTGCACCCGCATAGGCCCCTGCGGACCAGGTACCCCAATCCTGAAGTTCGAGTCATCCAGCATTTGTATCGCGAGGTTGACAGACTCCGGTCGGAAGTACACAACGAGAGCTTCACCCTTAAACTTGCCACTCTCATCAGTGTACATCTTAATGCGCGGTCGGCCGCTATCGATCTCCTCAGCGATAACACCACACTTGGAGAAGACATCACGGATTTCGTCGAACTCAGCATCCAGAGGAATCGAAGTCACATAGACGGCGGTATTGACGCGCTGTTTCTTAGGCTTCTGTTGCCCATTGCCCTACGCGATTACACATATCCCCTTTAGTATAACACCAATCTCGATGCCATTGGGGCCAACTCAAGGAAGCATCATCGTAGAACCGTTGGACTAACCTCTTCCGTAGAAGCCTGTTGCTTGCGCTTCTTCCTCAACTGCGCCGCAGTAATTTGTTCCTCCTCATCAACACCCTGGACCTTATATGCTTCTTGCTGTTGTTGTAGCAAGTCTTCATCGACCTGGAGGCAACCCCGGACGGGCGCAAAGCGGCGCCAACCAAGCAATCAGTTTCACGAACCAATCAAACAATCCCTGCAAGAATAGACATCGTGTATATCGGTCTATTTGCAACAAGAGAGGAAAGGTTCCATAACCAGTTGAAACAAAAAAGGGGGGAAGGCGGGGAGGGATAGAAATAGTAGAAACAAAAAATGAAGGAAGTAGCAGCAGGTTCAACAGCTACATAACAATCACACCACCCAGCTGGAGAAAGAGCGCGCACACACCGTCGGAATCCATCTCTTTAGCACCGTATCATATTCATATTCCTGTCCGTCCTCCGTTTCCAAGATGAACTTGTCGTCGAGCTTCGAGAACGAGATGCGCGGGTCGCTGTCGAATTCCGAAGGATCCTGGGGGAAGTTGCTTAGCGGAGGAGAACGGCCGTCGTCGTTCGGGGTAGGCGACGCCATTATTGTTGTACACGATAGACGATATAAATGCGACGGCGATCAAATATCGAAGTAGTAACAAAAGAGTTTATTATCCGGGTTGAGGCAAGGTTGGCTTGATGATGATGATAGGATTTAATTTGAGCTGACTTTCGGATTTGCGGGGAGAGAGAGATCGCTTTATGTAAGCTGCGACGGCTATTCACGTCATGGAGGGCGCGCTTAGCTTAGGCTGACGATTTTGGCAGCTTTACTTTGCTTAGACTACTTTATCCTAGTTAATACAATGTAGTGAATATTCTGTCTTTCATAGGTGCGTTCGACGCGCTTACAGCCTTAGCGTAATTGTGCGGGGAAAGGAATGGGGCCCCTGTTCATATTATCTGCATTTGTAGCTTCAATTCAATGATGAATACGGGGTGAATCTTTCATTGAAACGAAGGTGAACGCTCAAGCGCAGTATTCTTCACAGTGAGGATATTCTATCTCAGATAGAAGCGCTAATTTAGAATGAATACAGAAGAATGCTTCGATCAAATAGAGATCATTGCGAAAGTTTCGGCTATTAGAATGATGCATAAATTTTGTTTTTTTGGGAAATATCCGAGCTTCAGTGTGGATGGACCACGATTGATTATGACGGTAATCCAGCACACCATGGAAAAATAGAACGACACAATCACTACAATGAGAGGGTGCTAGCAAACATAGGCGAATGAAGCAAATATTGGCCCAAGACTTCCCAGGACAATGCAAGGACAAAGTTGTTGATATTTGTGGGAGGCTCAGGAGGATTCAAAGTGCATAAACTATCTTCGATAGTTGCTCGTAGATCATCGGCCGCGGCAGATTACGCTCCGCTAAGTAGATTAGCATTTAGCAGCGCAGTATGCGCTTTATAAAATCGACACAACTTCTTCCAACGCGCATTCCAATTGAGTGAGGCCAGCTCCGCGCAAAGCTCAGTGGAAAGGGCACTGGCCCCGTCGTGTGGTTTCCAACTCCTTCATAATGTCCTCCATACCCTGACGGCCCTTACCTTCGAAATACTTGGGGCCTACATCGAGATTATCATACCCCTTTGGATAATACTTGTCCCCTTCGTCTCCCGGCAAAGGCCGACCAAGCACCCAAGTCAACCACGCAACCGGACCCCAGCGGTTCCGGAAAGTCGGCTCCACATAGTAAGGGGCAGCATCCCAGTTGGTCATGTAGATGCGGCCGTTCTTGTTGTAATCATCGGTGTAACTAACATACCGCAGAAAATAAGGGCGGGGTAGCGCAAGATACCGCAATGCAAAACGACGAGCGGAGAACAGTAACGAGAACAGCTTAGCATCAAAAGCCGGAGGAGGGTCAATCCTGGAAAGAGAATCAATAAGCGATTTGTTTCGAGCCCCTGGAAGCATTACACAAGACTTACAACATGGCTTTCCGCAAGCGATCGTCCATCATGAACGAGACAAATCTCATCCCAAAGAACTGCAGTGACTGGGGAAGCATGTACAGCAGCACTGCGATGGTCTGTCCGGCCACTTCACGGTTGTTGACATGAGGTACCATGCAACGAACCTCATAGTCGTCGCTCCAGGCCATCATTTCCTCCAGCCAATGAAGACCATCGCGAAATCCGGTTTTACCTGACGGGAGGGCATCATAGCTAATATTCAAGCTGTCGCCCAGACTTTTCCAAAAGGTACCGATGGCACATTTCTCAAGGTCGCTCAGGTCCCGCCATTCATACATTTTCACAAATCTGACTGGCTGAATGGCAAAGAGGCCGAGTGTGTACAGCATATCATCTTCCAGGATCTTGCCGGAAGCGCGATAGCTGCTGTGGATCCAACGGGTGCGTGCAATAGAAGTGCAAGCACGACGAGAGGTTGGCGCATGGCCTACCATTTCCTGAACTAGTGCTACTGTATCAGCGTAGCGTTTCAGGGAAGTTTCGGGCTTGGAGAATTGGGCTGTATTTGTGAGCACTGTCGAGATGGTCGGGATACCATATGTCTGGTGCAGTAGTTAGTCGGCAGGATAGGAAAAGAAAAGAATAAGCATAAAGTAGCCGGGGTCTCACACCCTGAAAAGAGCAAATTGGAGTGATTTGAGGTAAAGAAAGGGGAACTCCAGCTGAACCAAGCCTTTTTGTATCTCGCAGGCTTCATCGTCGGTCATGCGAGAGAAAGACTCTCGCGTCGTATAGGGGTATTTTTGATATAGTCGCTGGAGGTATCGAAATCGTAGCTGCGAAACCAGAAACGCGTAGACCGGAAGCAACAAGCAAATACAAGTGACCAATTGCTGGAATCCCAAACCCGCCACCCGAGGCTCCGTGTTGGGGACAAACCCCAGGAATTTCCCCGGAGTGAGCTGTGTGCTGTTATCCATTGGTCGCCTAATATTACTGGTTTTGCTCAGTGGTCCATGCGTCGATGTACAGCTAGTATGTAGATAAGCTTGATGATGGGCGAAGGGGACTGTAGGAGCAATTTTGAGTCTCTCAAGTCAGTCACAACTGAAATGAAATGATCTGCATCGGGCATTAGTCATAAGTTGTGAGGGGCACAGATGACCGCTGTGAACAAATAAATTCCAGCATACGAAGTTTGACGATCGACAATATACAGGGGAGTTAGGCACTTGATCAGTGATGGATAATATGAATAGTATGCTCGAAAGAGTTACTTGGACTTACAGGGAGGGTGGGTCTGATGATGAGGATAATGATGATCCCCCGGGGTTTCATAACTAAGATCTGACTTAACAGTGAGTTTTAAGGTATGGTTACCCCACCGCACTCCCTTCTCCTACCGTGGTTCACTGACCATATCGATTTCCAGGCACTGATTATCTACACAGTACGTATATAGTACGCTACCAAGTTTCGTCTCATCTCTTTCTGCAATTATTAAGGTCTTTTCTAAAAACCATAAACCTCAGGCAGATTGAGACTGCCTGCCACGACATCATGTGCCCGAGCATAAACCCGCCATACCCATTACTAATATTACACAAGTGATTGGCTTCAATGTCATTGGATCCTGAATATAATAATGCTGTACTAGAACCAGCCTTGCTTTGTGAACTGAAAAGCACATATGTCTATTGGTGTAAGTACATGGAACATCGGCCTGAATCGCCGAGTCTTACCCAAGGCTAGTACTCGTTCTGGTTGTGGGTGCAGAAATCGGCGACATAGTGGTACATACTGATGCTTGAAACCCAGAATGTTAGTTCCCACTGAGCTACTAGCCGTACACGTGGACTGCCGGTGTCAGCGCCGCGCCCATGTTGGAGTACTCGTATGGTTGATGGATCTTATTCTTGTAATGTTCTGGCTTCATGTGTTTGATCTGCCGGGTAATGATGTAGCATAGAAGCCTTCCTACAGGCATTTAAAGAGACGGATAAATAACCCTAATGAGTTTGGATCCGACAGGTGCGGTGGACTAGTCAGTCGATTTGCGATCTCAGCTTAGATTGAATACTATCTGCAATGTAGCAGCAGCGCTGTATGACACCTGTAAGGCCATGACAGGACTACCTGTTACTTCAGTAAGGGATGCTTGCAGACTCTCTCCGTCATAAGAGCGCTCATGCACTTTAGGGGATGCGATTTGAAACCTGGATCAGTCGTCTTGTCCTTCCTTGGAGACAAGGGCAACAAGAACTGTCAAGATAGTCGTCCTTCCAACTCACATCCGCAATCTCCCCTGCCGACTAAGCCATGTTTGCGCCTATGCGATATGGCAAGACACAAGAGCCGCTATATCTCGAGACTCAACCAAGTCGTCAGGGCCGAGTCTGTAAGCCTTCGGGTCATCTGAGATCTGCCTGTAATGCGTGTCGAGAAAAAAAGGTACAAAAATGTTTGGATCCCGAACAGATGCAATCACAGCTAACCCAAAAAATCACCAACAGTTGAAATGTACGAGCAACAAGGAAGGCTGTGATCGATGTCGATTCAAGAAAATTGTTTGCTCTTATATATCACCCAGACAGGACCGGTTGAAGCGGCGCGGGTCACGGCGTCCTTCTAGCATCAGCAGTACGCTCTCTTCAGCTGCAGACCCCCGGCAGAGGGCCGCAGCAGGCAGAGCGAAGCGCATCGTAACTGATACCACAATAGTACCACTGGCGACGGACGATAGTTCTCCAGAAACTTTACCACAAATCGATTGCCTGCGTCTCGATGACACCCAGAACAATGTGCTAGCACACCTGAAAGGATGGCCTCAAGATCCGCAGGAAGACCAACTCACCATCCTAGAGCCGAATAGTCAGCTATTCTTTGGGTCAAAGAATGGTTCATTCATGCTCAGCGACTCATCTCTTACCGGCCAGGTAACTTCGTCAAACTGCTCCGACATCATGGATTTTCTAAACTTTGATTCCTTTCCGGATGATGGGTCACCGGCTTCTGCTGCTTCGGACTGTATTGATTCAGGTGCACTGCACTAGTCAGAGATCCAGAGCATGGCAGTTCCTTCATTTGAAGGCAATCTTGTTTCCTCCGACAATTCACAGAATTTGAGGGAGGAATTGTCAAAATCATCTCTCAGTCAACCACGCGAAATTTCCAAAAACGTTCCCCGGGATGTCCTGTCGAATGCGCCTACTCCCTCACGGCAGGCCTGGAATACTTTGCTTCCTGTAACTCGATATTCTGACCCGACCTGCGCATGTATACAGAAGGTACTTGAGCTGCACGAAGAGGTTGAGGAAGTAGGTTCAACGAGCAGGGCTATGTCGATGGGAGAGAGTTTAGCGCTTCAAATAGCCGTGCTCCGGAAATGCCTCAACATTGTGGACTGCGAAGTCTGCACTCATTCCTCGGCAATCTCCATGCTACTTGTCACGATTTGCAGTCACCTGCTTCATATATCTCAAGCTATGTCGTCGCAATTGTGGAAATGGTTCATGCGCGGGTCGCGATTGCATCCACAACTTGCGACAGATCTGCAGGATGCGGAAGTTCATGATGGCAGCGGGGACCCGAGAGGAAAGCTCAGCATGGACCAGCTAGTTTCCATTGGTGCATAGGACGTAGATGGCCGTACTGAGCGAGCAATCATCATTCTGAAGGCGATCGAATTTCGAGTTGAGATACTCTGCACAATCTTAAATCATCTCCGAGAGCTCGCGATATGTGCAAACCGGAACAAGCACCTTACCCGAATCCATGCCTTGAGTGTTCGGGTACAAAACCACCTCGCCGATCTGAAAAACTCGACTACAGATGTTGTGATGATCTCTCGAAGCTGACCGGCCTGGACAACGTAAAAGCTTGTTAGAAATGCACATGGGTAACTTTTCCTTTCGAGACATTACCAGAGGCGTGGAGATGGCCCTGAACCAAGCCGGTATCCTTGTATTTTCTCAAATAGATGCAATAAAAGTAGCATGATACCAGAATAAGCAAGATATCCAGCCTGCTTGGATAACAAAAATCCAGGAGAGGGTATCATGAGACGTAGTCGATGTGGGTGCCACGCCGCAGGTGGTGATAGGTCCAACTTTGGGCATGCTAGACCCCGCAAGTTCTGCATACAAATAAGAAGAGAAGAAAACCATGCTCAGATGAAAAACGTGTGTGCGAGAAGAAGACAAAAGAATAAGATATAGAATAAGGAATTCAAAGAACAAAGTCAAGGAAACCACGAGACAATGACGAAGAATTACCCTAGCCCCTCTTTCCAAATTGGGTCTATGACTTCTCCTTGCAAAATTATGACTCTTCACTTGCTCCAGGTTGATATGAATCAAAAGTCTTCTGTATCAATTCCCAAGTCTCGTCACGCAAGTATCCATTGATCAAGTAATTCCCCGAGTCGTCCTTTCCATAAATGAGTAAGATATCACGAGGTATATATTTGTTGGTCAGTGAAGACCCTGCATATGATACACAAGCTCCGGGTGACCCTGATGAACCATCACTGGGCTGAGCCGCAGGGCCGAAATGCGCAGCCTCTCGAAATCCGGCCTTGGACCAATTTGTGCAGGCAATGACGGTGGAATTGACCGTACCGAAAAATGGCATCATCTTGGTACTAGAGAAACTCTCTCTAAATACCCTTATCAGTCGTCGAGCTTGTTCGTTCGTCTGTAGTCTGCTCCAAGATTGCTTGTCGTATCCGGCAAGCAATTTGTCCCACGGAAAAGGGTGTTTCGCCATCAGGTGCAGCTGGTACAATGGCGACAGCGGGAAGGATCAGATTCTGCAGGTGGACTCCCGGAGCCGAGAATGGGCCCTTGATTCGGCCACGAGCGTCGAAAATGTTATGGATTACAGCAGGTCTTCCCTTTTTGGCTTGCGAAGACAATATTATGTGCGAGACCCAAGCTGTGATGAGGTCGCCGTCGCTGAGAAAAGGTGGCTTCGTTTCATTTCCATCTTCTTTATAGTACTCAGCATATGCAGCTTGACGGAGACCTGCTATAAATGCTGCAGGTAGATAGATGGTGCGAATGTGGACATTCCTTCGCGTGAAAAGATCCCACGCTAACCGTAGGACCATGACAACCAGTGACAGTCCCCGAAGCCGCCACTGTTCAAGGACATGGGGACCTTGGGCCTTGTCGTCGTCAGAGGAGCCTATAGATGCTGCCACATCGTTCTTTGCACCCAGTACTGGGGGTATCTGGTCGGGGTGTTCGTTAAGCATGGCTGACCAGGCTTGAAGGAAGCCTACCGTTCCTTTTGCGTCAGTCAATGCGTGGGGAAATGTGACGGAGACCAGTGTTGTGTCTGTGAATGAGACAACTCGCAGTGATAGAAGCGGCTCATCGTTTGATAAGTAGTGTCTAATGTCGGCAGGCAAACCTGGTGGCAGGCTGAAGGGTTTGAACGTATCCCAGCCTTCCTGAATTGAGGGCCTCGAGCCTGTGGACTGGGGTAGGCGACTTCCCAACGGGTGTTCTCGAACCGGAACGTTGTATGAGGCATGCGAGAAACGAAATAGAGAGTGATCGTTGACATTATCATATACGTGAATAGCAAGCTTTCCATCATTCTGGTTTCCGCATGTAGGCCAGGATTAGCCAAATGTGGAACTCGGATCAAAGGACCCATGATACACGATGTTATGAGATTAGCTAAGATGATCTTACATTACGACGTAGGCGACCACTGAGCTTTCTCCAGTCCTCGGCTTTCAGTAGACGTGTTAAAGCATCATGAAGCTTAGCGGGTTCCAAAATGCAATTATACCGAAATGTGTAAGTGATGATTGAATCTCGGAGGATTGGAGTTTGATCTATAAAGTGGACAGGATACGTTTCATGTGGGCGCGGACTCGGTTTTGCAAAACCTAGCAGAGAACGCACTCTTTGGATGATTCGAGTCACCATGATGTAGATATCATATATGAGGATTGTTTGTGTGCTGCCAAAGAGAAGGTAGTGATCTTCTTAAGGGGTTGAGGCCTTATGTCGGACGCATAATGCCCGAATTGGCAGTTCGGGGATGTTCTCAACGGGGAAATCTCCAGAAACTCTCTCCTGCAGGACATCAAGCGCTCAGCACCAGCTCTGGCAGGTCGTGTGTTGGACTAGTTGACTACAACCCTTTTCCAAGTCTCAACCGATGCAGAAGACAGCTCATTAGGGTGAGATGTGCACAGTTGGACATAGAGGACAGGGCACCGTTCTAGTGTCAGTAAAGCGTATACATTGAAACAGCTGAGGATTATGCACTTGCCAAATTGTTTGTGTAAGTCCTTGATTGCTATGTGAATCTTGCCACTTGAGGTGTGGATGAAGCGCCACCACTATTGGAGCTATCAATGCCAGTGTACAGCTTTGGGAAAGAAGAAGGATGCATCCATCACCAGCGATGCGCGCCCGAGCAAAGGGCCAGGGATATGGGTAAGTGGATACATGTAGAGACTATAGATCCAAGTCGAAAGACAATAGTACACTGTCTAAACGGGATAAGATTTGGTCGAGATCCGTGAGTATGAGTCTGATGATTGTGGAATCGAACTCGGGGTGACATTTTTGTCTGAGAGGTTGATATCGCCGGATTTAGTGCGAGAGTTGCGCTATGTTTGAAATTAGAGAGCATTTGTATGTTTATATCGAATGGAGTATTAGTTAACTAGAGTGCTTCCTAATTGGGAAGTATTGTACTTGCCATCCACTAACCGGCTAATTTCCTCATAGAGACGAAACTCGGCTGATTCCCTGTCATGGAAATACTTCCGATGCCCGATACAAAAGTACACAGATCCCCATTGGGCAGGTGATCTCACCTGACTGTAGAAGAATACAGAACCATACCATCACTCATACAGGCCATCTTTGTGTGACATAACAACCTCGCCAGGACAACATTGCTTCTGCTCGGAAGGTAAACACGCAACGGCTAACATTATGATATCTAAACAGGCATATACACGTACATACAAAAGCCTTTTGAATTTCTTCTGCCAGGGGTTCTTATTCACAGCAATAGCAGACGGCACTTTGGTCTAAACAACAGCATATCGGTCCGGTTTCCATCCGTTGCTCCTCATGAAAGCACTCAGAAAGGGCCTGAGAAAGAGTCTTCGATACCGTCCAGAATAACATCGACATCTAATCAGCAAACGTAAATTCAGCGGCCAATGACTTTGAGTTCCAGCATTCTAAATGGCGGAAACACAAGAGCCGTGAATCCCAACCCCAGCCAAAGGCCCATATCACAACCACCTGGAATCGCTCTGGAGACTGGGCCTGTATAATAGGCTTGATCCTATTGGGAGAAGAGTACCTTGGTCAGCAGCGATTCGTGCAACAAGCACATGTTAGTGGGACTACGTACCATGCCAACGATGGCTCCTACCCAACCGATCAAAAAGGCAGTGCTAGCTGCCACTCCAACTGGGAGCTTAAGCCAATTGTTCCAATCAGTCCAGTCGTAGCTTTTCCCTCGGTTGAAAAGTACGTCTTGTTCTACCACAATGGTGAACCAGATGATGACCCAGTATCCAATGAGTGGCATTAGATTCCCGAAGATCTCATACAAAGAGTTTCGGCCTCCGATAGCACATGACGCGTAGATCAGAGTGCTGACAGTCGTGAAAACAGGCCGTGGGACCCTGAGCCACATCTCTCCCAGCATTTGGAAATTCAGTCCCGTTGAGTACGAGCTGGGGGCATTGTTGGACACAATCGTTAAGACGTTGATGAAGGCGCATAGCTTTCCAAGAGGCCCCAACCGATCATAGCCGGCCATCAGCAGACTCCCCGGTGTGCCGTCATAAAGAGACGCCCATTTGGAGTTAATTGCAACACCGCTTCCAAGCCCGGCGCCAAGAAGAAGGGTTATGGCTATTGAGAGGCTTACACCGATCGTGGTTACTGTCCACACTTTCCATCTTCGTATTTCCGGGGAATAGTAAACCTGGTAATCCGCGGACACGGGTATCCATGACAAGGGAATAGAGAGGCAAAGTGAGAAATATGTTAGACGCTTTGCGTTTATCTGCTCAATAGAACCGATCGACGGGCTATGGAAGTCGAATTGTGGACCAGCCGAGCCGGTGAGAATGCAAAATATCAACAATTGCGGAAACCAAGCAAACCTTAGCCAGAATAAATGGTCAGACGAGTGCTCTAAAACTTTGAAGGGTGAAGAATCCTACCTCTCATAGAACTGGAATATTTTCATCCCAAAAGTAGCCATTGCCCAGCTCACCAAGGCGACTATTACTATACCGACTATGACGGACACGACTCCTCCTGATAGCTTGGAAAGCAACTGGCCTCCTACAGTGGCACTCATCATGCCGGTTCCCAAGTTGGTAAGCACATTCAGTATACAACAAACCTTACTGGGGTAATATCCCATGAAATACCGAGACACAATCTATCAGGAGAATATAAGTTGTGAGCCGTTATCCTTAAGTCACGAGAATGTTTATGTGCAGACGGGAAAAGCAAGAGGAGAGAAACAAGGTGTAAATGTAGGTCTTACAAGTGTGCGGTTGCCGCTTCTGGGACCCCATGTGCTCATGTATCCAACTCCTAGGCCTCCCAAAAACGTTCCAAAGATTACACACAGCGCGGCGTCGGTGAAGCTCAGCTTCATTACCAGTGTTCCCAAAGACCCGGTCACTATGTTATTGATTGCCATACCCATACTGAACCATGTGAGCATCATTCGGAAAGGGGTTGAGCTGGTGTTCTTCAGTCGTTCTTCAAGAGACACGGGCTCGATCCCGCGAGCCTCTAAGCCTTTGATATTCCTCGCCCATCGTTCGTATCTCGATCCACATGTCGGCGGGGGAGTTCCCAGAGTATGTGAAGCCTCTAGCTGCTCTCGTGTCACACTTCGCAAGGAAGGGGATCTCTGTCTTTTTTCTAGGTCAGAGTCCATGCTGGTTCGGGCGTGCCTCTCGAGGGAGCTGTCTGTGCACACTTTCGCGTTCTGCAACAACTTGAACTATAACCTGCTGGGACTCATCCAACTATAAATGGACAAAATAAGAAAAGACGGTCGCCTCACTGGGCATACAGACATTCGAAAAACCGGAGGGAGAAGATTCCAGTGGAACAACCACTGGTTACTCCGTCGTACTGCATTGACATCACTTTGTTTTCCTCAGCGTGACACCCGCGCTCCAAGACCAGAACAGCATTCCACAACATCAGAACACTAAATCGGGATACCGACCCCAAACCTGGTCAAAAGTACTATGCTTGTACTGAATCGGGCTTAGCAGCACACGTCTACCTCCCCGGAGAACAAAGGGGTTGGTATCCGGATAACAGCTGGAAGGCACCCGATCCATCAGGGTGTTTGCTCCAACATCGTCATTGAGAGATATTCTTAGTGTATGCTGCCCTATTTTGTTGGCAAGGCCATACACCCTTCCGCACAGACAGTCATGTGAGAGTGTGTTCCACATACCACGCCGATGATGCCTTAATAAGCTCTGCGATACATTCCTCTGGTATGCACCAGCCACGCAAGGAGATGAAATGCTATTCAGGGAGAGAAAATCCTGATGCCTGTATCAAGAACCAGCAGGTCAAGACCATGTGCTGTTTGTGGGGTACAGAGCATAGAAACAAGAGTGTCAGGTATGGGACGAGCTCATGAACTGCTGACCGGGACCTCGTAGCCCCGGATTTCGAAGTTGCTTCAATCCTTGTCGGGAAAGTGGTGAGCAGGGTGAGGAGAACAAGGGATCATGTCTCCCATGCCTTGTGATATATTCCCCTGACGACTGCGGTAGACGAATACCATTTTGATCAGTTTCCCCGAGAGACGGTTACGTACTCGAAACCTCTTCCTAACTCCTTGATAGGGCTTTGAACACTGCCGCGTGCTCATATATGATTGACAAGCAAGACCAACTGCCATATCGGGTGGTGACGATCCTTGATAACAGGTGATTTGATCCCGACTGAATGCACAGGCATGGGTCTAATACCGAGGCAGGCGATGTTCCTCAGAGGGACATGATTGAATGAGTATTAATGAGTGATAATGCAATGAAGAATGCAACGCGACATGTATTCACCATCTTCAATAGTATGTTCCTGAAAGTGACTACACTTTGCCTGTTAGTGACTAGCTCTGACCCCTCTCATCATCATAAATTCTACGTATACGGGGTTACTTTCCTCCACAAACATTCTTTCTTTCTTATCTAAACATGGTACTATTCATATCAATGTATAAGTCTGGGCGCTCATTGACCGAAAAAGCAAGATATAAACGTTACTCCAATAAGAAACAAGAATTTAAGACATTTCCAGAGGTTATGAACTACTTTATATTAGTATCATTGCTAAGTACCTAGAGCTTTTAAGGTTTCATTTCCAAGACTGCATACACCCTAGAAAAAGCCCCTGACATTCTATGCCAAACTCACAGAACCATCGAATTCGCGAAACCAATCAGCATCAGATTCACGAGAATCATTCACATGCAATACTCTACCATTATACCAGCATACGCACTGTCCACAGCGACCGAGGTATACAACCAAAAGGAAGGCCGTGCCTAGTGGAAGCACTGCCGGCGTTGACCTTGTCGGCTTCTCGCGCTGGCCCTCTAACCCCCAGCTTGTAGTGTATCAACTGATAATCTTGGATAAAATCCAGAATACTGACACAGATACATTAGTACGGGAATTACTTCCTTTTTGCAATAGCCTACCAAGAAATGTACACTCTGGGAAGCATTCACGATTAATGACATTCTTCATCTTCGGGATCGCTTGAAATTATCCCATCAGCGGAAACATACTAATGTGATCTTTACACTTCGAATTTCTGATCGACGAAGTACGTCGTGACTTAGACACAGAGAGACTCCTGTGTAGTCGCGGGTTCGTTCAAAACGTTATATTTGTCAATACAGCCGATGCGAACATAACCTTGTTTCTGTCCATGCCATGTCCTAAACAGCCCACACAGGTATAAAAAACTGTCGAGAAGACAGTCTGTGATGGTGTTTGTCTTTGGCTCTTTCAATACTCGGAAGTAAACCTCGAGCGAGAAGAGTCAGATAGTTTTTACAGGATCCTATATCTTACCCAAACCAGGTCAAAATTTGCTCATGAGAATAAAAGCCAGAGCTCTATGTGGCAAGAAACACATAACTGAACTGCAAAGCCGCATTTCCTGCCCTCCCAGTTACATGAATCCGTCTAATAAAATAAAAAAAAAATAAAAAAAAAAAAATAAAAAAATAAAAAAAAGAAAAGAAAAGAATAGGATATTCCTCCCATATTATATTAAATACACTCTTGAGTTGCATATGATCCCGGAATCTCAGGCTACTATGCTTTGGAGCTGGTCATCATTTGGATGTACCCCCATTCTTCGCGTATAGAACTTGGAATTGACATGCTGTGCTGAGTACTTTTAACGCAGAAAACCACTTGCAAGCACTTAGACATTGCGAGCAGTTTATCCTCGAGTCCTGAGTAGGCAGCACAACTCAGTGGAGCGGAACAAGAACTCTGTCACCTGAATGCGCAGCTCCATGACGAACAGACATGGTTTCTAAGATGGGAGAGCGATGCCACGGATTGGAAGGAAGTCTCTAGCAACGCGAAAGAACCCGATAGTCCACAATGATGGTCAGATGATCAATGACGTACAGATGCAGTGCCATTACGTGCAGGGTGAGGTAGTTGACCGGTTCATCATAACTAAGAATGAAGGACACAGGGGAAACCCGTGAGCCCAGTAGTGGCTCCTGGAGTTTTACATATAGCCAACCGTGAAGCTGAATTATGTACTTTTTGAAAATGACTTAAAAGCACCATTTTAAAAAAGAAAATAAAAATACGATTAATATAGCATGAGGATGCAGATTCTCTTCTATTTAATGGGATTCCTTTTTTTTTGGGGAGGGGGAAGCATCTGCATGTACCCCCATATGTTCGCATTATGCCAGAGGCATCATGGAGACAGTGATAAAATTAACCGTCGCGATAATTTACTGTTTTTTGAAGAGGACCATGACGGAGAATGACGGAGATGGCTATCTCTTACTGTGCCTCCTGCGAACGAGCATAGCATGCGAGTTCTATTGACTGCTATCCAGTCAACCCAGCAGCACTTGTATGCCTTTGATGGTTATGGTTGACAGGAGGGTCATGAATGCTCAACAGGGACTGATTGTTTCTTATTGTGAATAAAATATGATAAGCAGAAGATCGAAAGCAAATTGGTGCTGCTGCTATCTGACCTACCGCGATTCGCACCTACTACTCCAGGCCTTAATGACAAGACGAGAGCAAGCCCTAGAAGAGTACGACCGAGCTCTATGCCTCATCTACAGTACTCCAATATGACACTCAAATAATATCTAGAATGTACTCTTATTATGATTGTTATATAATTAGATCGCTTTGTTCTTCTGTGCACCACAGCTTCTTAAGGTAGTGGCCTCCAAAAAGCCAAGAGCTGTTAGGTTTGATACTGCCCGACAAGGCTGAGTACTTGAAAAGAGTAGCAGAGCGATGAAAAGAAATGGCATAACCTTTTCTAGTAGTTTGAGTTAGCCGCTGATACCTTCTGTATCTACTTTCCAACATAGTTACTATATACCACCTCAATTTGAACGACTCAACGGCATATCGTAAATCAATGCAAGTCCAATACTCAGAAGAGCTCTGGTCAAGACTCTGAGCAAAATGTACATGAGAGTTTTGCCCTTTCTCTGGCGTGCTTTCCGCTTCCTTGAACCATACCCTTACAGGTAGACCAGGCTTAGAAGAGAAGAAGCAAATGTCCAAGTTGCTGAATTCGAGAATAGTATTCCAAGACGTAGGTGTGAATATATGTGTTTGGTTGTTAGGTCAGAGGCCACGTAGGCAGAGGTGGCGGGGATTCAGGTTATGTCTGCCTAAGTGAATGTCTGAGTATAAACCTGATATTCCAGTCAAAAGCCTCATTCTCTGGAAGAGTCGTGGACACGAATATGCTGCGACATCTCTAAGACAGCTTCTCCTCTGGAAGAATATATGCAGGGGACTAAGTGACGAACATTATGCTAAGATTGGTGTCTATATTCAACTGCTTCTGAGCTTAAGTAGTGGTTGTATATATTGAACGTAGTAGAAAGTTTTGAGGAGCGCTTAGGGTAATGCAACGGCTCCGGCTAGCTACTTATATATACCGTGACGGGCCAGTTCTGTTGGGCAGTCACCGGAGAATCTGGAAGACCTTGCTAACAATTAGAATACTATACCAATTGCGGAAATTTCCATCTTCACTCACTTATCCTAGCTTGCTGGTGGTCATATTCACAATAACGCACGTGATATGGCTGGGATAAAAGTTGGTGAAACATTTGGAGTCCCATTCTGCTGAATGACCATTGGTATATTGCTTTGGTCTACTTGGTGATATGTTATTCTGACAAGAACCCAGCTCAACCGAAATCTATCAAAGCCACGTTATTCTTTGCCCGTCTATTGGGACTCTTTCATTTAGAAATGCTGAGAGTCAGCCTGCCAACCATGATAGTTGGTACTTACAACCACGAACCGTCTCCATATCGCATCGGTGCAGCACTGGTCATTCAGTCACACGCTCCTCCTCCCCCACTCCACAGAAGTGAAATACTTCTGCAAGATAAGCTGGATCGTTCGCTTTCTCCCTAGAGCTATGTCTCAAGAACCCCCCTCTGCCAGGCCTTGATGGCCACAGCTTTGTTAATGTTCATCTGATTGAGGAACTGCAAACTGGCTTCCACAAAATGTCACAGGTATTTATTGTAAGATGTATGAATACCCATCATTCTTTAGGCCTACCGACAGATCAGGACATGATAGCCAAGTTCTATGACCCTCTCTACCACGACCGTGACGATGCCAACCCTTTTCGGGCAGCTGACTATGATTACTCGCACGAGCGTGCCTCATATAAGCGTTTGTCCGAGCTACAGGGCTCTGTTCTTCCCCGATTCTTCGGCTCTTACACATTCAGAACAAAGATCGGTGGTCATACTCGCCAAATTCGTTTGATTCTACTTGAACGAGTCAATGGTCTGCCCATGAGTCGCCTAGAGTCCAAGATATTCTCAACAGAGGAGCGTCAGGCTATTATGAGACAGATCATTGATGGAGAGTCTGCACTTTACGCCAAGGACGTCCGCCATGAAGACTTATGTCCACGCAATGTCTTGATTGAACGGAGTGAACTGGGAAGAGTAAGGGCCGTCATTATTGACTTGGGAAAGTCTGTTATTGGACGATCACGCAATCCTTCGAACAGTGCAGAAGAGAGCCAATGGTTTCCTGGCGTTCCAATCAGCCCACTACTTAGATGGAACATCTATTATGGATACCCTAACAGCTTTGGAGATTGGATCGACTGGCCGTGGCAGAAATGGCTTGAGGTTCAATACAAGGAGACTGAATCTACAATCACAGATGAGCAACGGCAGAGGTGGCCAGTGTATGACTGGATGCTGGAGATTACATCATTTTCATGATATGGTGGGAGATGTTTTGAGCCCATGTTGTGCCGATTTCTAGATCTCCCGGAGAGTCTAACAATTTAGCAGATATACAAGCTGTTTAGGATTATCTTTGGTGTCCCACCACTATGTTAAGCCCGATGTCCATGTGATAGCAGGCCATCTCTTTCTCAAATTAGATTGCAGTGAGCCTAGGCATCTTGTGTGTCCAATTCAGGTAGTTCCTTCCGACAAAGCAACCACCCATGGAAGTCATGAAAGCTCTTAGTCCGCGCCATCCTCTAAGTACGTACCTACTAGCATCTACGTAGCACTTGGACCGGGACATGCGGACCCAACCCTTGAATCTACTGTATGTTGACAAGCAAACAGACGACAACGAAAGGGAGATAGCAGCCCAAACCTACTACCTACCGAAACCAACCTTATTACTGTCTAGAAACAAAATGAAAGTTAGAAAAGCTCTCTTCCAAGCAAGCTGACGACATCCGTGTCACCCGGAGCTTGTGCTTGTGGTGGCTATGCTATGCGCATGTAACCAGTCGGCTAACGCAGAGCTTAGCATAGGCGGATTGACAAGTCAGGTTGATGGTATTATTTGCTTATCCGTACGGTGTAGATACTTACCCCATAAGGGTTGGGTTTTGAAATGGGGTCCAAACAAGATATGATGAGACTGTACACCATTGTGGTAGGTGCCAGGTTTTATGAAGCTTCCCTCACGGGATAATCGTGATGGTGGTGGTGCAACGGGCAAACTGATGATGTGGAATAGGATAGGACGGAGAGCTCCGCCCGGAGAATTAATATAACATGACAATAACAATACGCGGGAAAGTGTACTGCATTGCACTGCACTATTTTACAATGATAAACATATTGATAGAGGCATGATCTGATGTCACCAGGTTTGACTTGCTGTGGATGTAAGTGGAAATAGGATGCGCCGGATATGAAGTCAAAATCAGTCAAGTTCCAAGTATTCACTAGACTAACTAAGAAGGAATATTCTTCCAGACGAGGATAATAAACCCATTATTATTACCCTCCGGCTAAGCTAAAGCTAACCTTACTTCCCTGTCGACTTGCTTTTTGGTAGTATGCAAACTAGACTAGTCAGGTTCCCATACGTGGATTAGATGGATGGGGCCCTTTTTTTTGCACCGCCCCCTTCCTGCCAAGTCTTGTTTTCTTCTTTCTTCCTCTTGTTCCTCTCCAGGTAAAGTAGACTATTTACTGACGGAGAAAGTTAGGTTGGGGGTTCGGGCTGTTCCACAAATCTAGACTTGTTGGCGGGTTCTCTTCGTCATCTTGCGTGTTGTTGACAGGATATTGGTGATCTGTTTTAACATAACCGTTTGATAACTTTTATTTATCCGTCCTGTGACATTCATCACAGTTTCTCGGGTGGCATGTGGTACATGGAATATTCTTTCCCTGGCGAACCCGGCGGTTAGACCTGATGCGTAGCGTGCATTAGCTCGACTAGTCCAAACATTAATGCATCGTCATTAATTTGATGACTTCTTAGTAAGTTACTTAATTAGCGAGTTGAGCGATGAGTAGATAGATAGACAGATAGTAGTCTAGATAGATAACTAGTCTAGTTTATCGTTCTGCGCCGCCTATCTACTTGGTTGATAGTACGTGGTCCGAGTGGAGCCCCTTTCTTGGGGGTCAAGTTGGAACACTTTAAGAGGCAGGTCCAACATCAACACGATGGATAACCCCATCTGAGTAGTAAAAACCGAGAACAAGAAATACAGTGCGGCATTTGGTCCGTCTAAATACCGCTAGTGTTCTGGGGACCATCTCGTAAACGGCATTGGTAGCATTGGAGGTAGAAAGTATCTGCCTCACTGCTGGTTAATCGGGAGAAAATTGGCTGGTGATGAGTTAAGGTACGTGGATGGAGCACGTCCTGCTTCGGGTTCCATTCCCCTTAATTCTAGCTCGACCGTTAGTCTGGAGAGCGAGGGATGCACTACCGAGGTGTGGATTTTGTCTCTTCCGTCACCACTTTTCCGTTCCCTCCTCCCTTTCTAGTAAGCAACTTTTTAGTAGTATCTACTCCATAGACTCATAGTCTAGATGTCACATCGGATTTTTCTTTGCACTGAAAAAGACCTTCTGCCCCAAACAGGTCTGGAAATACAGAAACAGAAAAGAAAGGGAGCAGGACAATCATATCAATAATGGCGGGTAATAATAAAGGCCTGAAAATTAATGAAATGGGAATAATAAAATAAAATAGAATTTTCTGAAAGGGGGAAAGGTGGGAAAAAATCAAATCAAAAGACTTTCGATGACGGGGTCGAGAATGAGGCAGTGCAAAAGTGAACCGACGAGTTACGTTACAGCTTTGGGCGAGTCGGAGCTCTGCAGAGGTCATTGGGCCCGTTAAACAATTCCCCCCCAAGAAACCAAACACCCCCAGCGCCCTGTTTTGGTGGCAAGGAGGTCGCCTCAATCCGTGGATGTTCCCGTTAGAGGTCAGAAAAAGGAAGAGAATGATTGAAAGGCGCTCTCCCTTTATATGGATGGAGGTTTCCCTGAAGATCGATAAACCAGGTGCCCTGACGAAGCAGAACCATCAAACATGGGGTAGATAGTAGTCAGCCATCGGGCAATTGGCAGCTTTTCTTCTGCAAACAAACAGCTTTCGTTTCCCAAACTTACCACATCACTCGATCTGGACCAACCGGTGGGTCCATAGTGGGGCAGCTAGCCGTAGTGATTGGTCCTTTGCAGGATAGGTGCAGGGTCTACCACCGAATCATGCTGTAGTCGGTAAGTAGGTACCTTACCTGACAGTACAACTGCGCCTGCCATTCCTCTTTCTTTACTTCCATGATCTCAGTCCCTCTATCAATCGTTCTATCCACCCAACTTCATGATGTGTCGTTGTTCTGCTTGATTCCCCAATTCTCCCTCCCCCATTCATTCTCCCTTTCTCCTCCACTTGACTTTCTCTTGCCCTTAATCCCTCTTTGTCTTCGCTTCATTCCGTAATTTACCTCCATTGGTTCTGTGCTCCTTACGCCGACACAAGTGAGGTGCGGTCGCTTGGTTGTCGGTTTCCCCCCCAATTCCCCTCAACGCAAATCGTCTGTCCATTCGCTGGCTTTCAAGTAATACCTCGTCGCTGATAAGCCCTTCTAGCACTGGCAGTGCTTTTAATCCGTTTACACTTTGCCGGGATTTGGTCCCACCATCGGGTCGCGTTTCGATAATTGTCACCTCCGGATGTGCTTCTGATACGACGTTACTACGTGGTGTGGACTCTCTGGTGCTGGCAAAGCTTGTCAACCTTCATATTCCACCGTTGTCCTTCCCTCCTTTTCGCTTCATTAGTCGCCTGTTTCCCGTCTTCTCTCGTGCTTCTCTCGAATCGCTGTTCAATCGATGTGGACGTTCCTTACTCCCACGGCCAGTTCCGCGCATTCGTCTGTTTAATCCGCAGCGCCAGTTCTTAGTGTAGCTAGAACACATGGGATATAATACTCGCGCATTCCTCTTCGGTGTCCGCTATTGAGCTTAATCGGTTGCTACTTGCCTCTGGAATGATACCCACTTCTCTTGCGTCTGGATCCGACATTTTATGATACGGCGCTGTTCAATTGTTCTGCTCCTTTTGGAGCCGCATTCCTATTGACGTCTAGTATCCTGTTCCGTTGCCATCGCTCCCAAGACCCACTCATCTCCGGTTGTTTCACCCCTTGGAAATATCATGCCGGATTCCAAATCGGATGGCCATGATGCTAGGCAGTCAGGGTCGACTCCCCTGCGACGGGAGCGGGCCCCGACTATCACCATCGATACGTCGGCTGTAACGTCCTCAACCGACCAGCAAGAACCCCCGCAACAGATACTTCCTACCCCATCCCACCCCTCCTTACAAGTGTCTACCGAAAATGTTGATGCGCATGATATGAGCGCGCTCTTGAGCAGTGGGGGTGTCTCGCCATCGTCAGTCCGCTCTTTTGCGTCATCTGAGAACCGGGACTACGAGAGTCGTCCTACATCCCCGCACAATATCTCCTCTCCCGCCTCGAAAATGACGGAGAACATGTCGAATTCGAATTATCTGGCTGTCCCCGGCACCAGGTCTCGCGGTAACTCGTTGGAATCTGAGGACTCGAATAATTCGTATACCAGCTCGTACGGGGGAGATACCTATGTTCCCACAGCATCTCACGGCTCGCGCACCGATTTGACCCAGAACACGATAATCTCCGATGAGGATGCCCTCAAGCCGGATCCGGGGCGAGAGGCCGAGTTTGAGGTGGAAGACAACAAATTTGCATTTGCGCCTGGCCATCTGAACAAGCTATTGAACCCTAAGAGCCTGGGGGCATTTCATGCGTTGGGAGGGTTGCGTGGAATCGAAAAAGGACTTCGAACCGACGCGCGGAGTGGTCTGAGTTTGGATGAGGGAGACCTGGATGGTACAGTGAGCTTTGAGGATGCCACCAGCACGCAAACGTCCGAATCACTGCCAAAGAACGCTTCCTCGACGCCAATGAGCCCTCCCAGAACCGACACGGGCTCGTCGAAACATGTCGAAAATGCCTTTGGGGATCGAAGCCGCGTCTATGGGAGGAACAAGCTTCCTGAAAGGAAGGCGAAGAGTTTTCTGGAGCTGGCTTGGATTGCATACAACGACAAGGTTCTGATTCTGCTTACGATAGCTGCAATCATATCTCTCGCCCTTGGAATCTATCAGTCTGTGACGGCAACGGGGAAGGAAGCACGTGTGCAATGGGTAGAGGGCGTGGCTATCATTGTTGCCATCCTAATCGTGGTCGTTGTGGGTGCCGCTAACGACTGGCAAAAGGAACGCCAGTTCGTCAAGTTGAACAAGAAAAAAGATGATCGACTGGTGAAAGTGGTCCGTTCCGGGAAAACAGCAGAGATCTCCATTCACGACATTCTCGTGGGTGACGTTATGCATCTTGAACCCGGTGATCTTATTCCAGTTGACGGTATATTTATTACTGGCCACAATGTCAAAT